ATTTTTTTTTTCCTGTTTTCTCCCCACTTTGAACCAGAAAATACATCCACAAGAGGAAGCTCCTCAGATCTTTAAACACATCAATCAGTTTCACAGCTGGGAACGGAGGGATCTAGATAAGAGACAGCAATTCCTCTATTAAACCTGTTTATAAATTTTAGGCAACAGTTTTATATAAACTGAGAAAATGTTGGCCAAGTTGAAACAGACAAGAATTAGAGACACAAAGCAACCAACTCCCAGCTGCTTTTCTTTTCTTTTTGAAGGTAAAGAGTATTTTTTTTTTCTGTTATGACCTCAAAATCTCTCTTACTCTTGGTCAGAGATTAATGAGTATGCCAGGGTTAAAGCCTCTTACTGGACTTTTCCATCTGATTTCTTCAGACAGGCATTTTACTACTATACTTTTTTCTTTTATACATTTATATTTAAATGTTATTATAAAATGTGTGTTATTTTCTATATTAAGAAAGGTTCAACAAGTATCACTGATGTAACTACACTAGATATTCTTTGCAAAAGTCAGTGCTTGAATTTATTCATAATTTCTATCATCTGTGGAGTATATTATACTATTATGAGCTCTACACACATTGGTTGAATTATTTGACTTGAAAGACATTATTGAAATAAAAAATTGCTTTTCTGTTGAAACTATGAATTTTGGTCCTGTTAATAAACATAATAATAAAATAAGGAAAAAATTTCAAATTTGGGAAAAAAGGATATGTACTATAAATAAAGGATTATAAATATTTTAAGCAGCACAAATTTATTTGGGTTCTCTTTCAAGAGAAAATGGTAAAATATCATTCCTATATGTTCCTGTTACTTTTTCTAAATCTGATTCAAAAGTCATCTCTTTTTGGTAGCCTTCTATGAACTATTAAGGGTTGAATTCCTCTTTTACTCTTTTCCAATAGTGTTTTCCTCGAGACACTTCCAAGTTATATTATCATTTCTTTTTCTTTTTCACTTCCTAACAATCATGTTACCTCTGTAAGATCTTAGCACAAAGGAAGACTGTTAACAAATGTTTGATAAATTAAATAAAACTCAATTTAAAGATTTTTAAAAATGAAGAGATGATACAAATATATGTAAAATGGGATGAAAAATTAAAGCCTACTTTAAAAAAAGCATATAACTTAACTAATTCACAGATCATAATAAAGTATTTTTCAAAGTCGTATCTAAATTATTTATCCTTCCTAGATTTAAGGAAAGCCCATGGGACAAGATACTAATGGGGACGTTTTGGACTTAGAAGTTCCTTTTGTTGTCTGATAGGATTCCCTCATCTGTGCATTGTAAGTGATAATTATACCCACTTTCACAAAACTGTGAAAGTCTAATGAGAAAATCAATGTAGAAGGGCTGTTAATTTAAAACTTATGCAACTTTTGCCATTATTGATGAAAAATTAACTAAATGGCTGACCTACCTCAGGCTTTATTGACAAACAATGGAAGAACTAGGATTCCAAAAGCCCTACTGTTGCCAAGACATGTCACAAACCATTTCCACGCTTCTGCATCCTCTGTCCCCGTGTACTCTTTCCCTATTTCTTAAAGATCCTTACCAAAATAACTGTTTCATGCAGTGAAGCAGCCTCTTATGTGACATCCCATTCTCTTTAGTCCACACATTCTGCTAGGAAAACATAACCTGATATAGTTCTATCAATTTTATTTTACTCCTTTCATACCATGATCTTTATGTTGGAAAATAAATTATTAAATCTAGAGGCACAGTTCTGATGTAGGATTTCTTAATGGGAAGCATTTTTAGGTATTTGATGAAGTATGCAAATTTGCTCTTAATGTTTCATAGAGATAAAAGTAAATAGTCTTAAGAGGGAAGCTAATTTTACTGATTTACAGGCATTAAAATATCTACAAGATTAACTTTAAGATATAGTCATGGCTAGCCATCATTTAGATGATTTAAATAACAAGATCTAAACTAGCTCTGAACTAGATGACATGAATTTCAAAGCTGATTGAAAACTTCCCTTGACATACTTCAGTTGCAAACATTTATAGAAATTTTAGTAACTCTACGTGATATGAAAATATGTTCTGTCATCGGTGACAATGTTATACTTTGTATTAATACTATAATTATCCTTCAGTACTCCAGAGGTGTTTCAGAATCTGTGTGGATGGGTACCAACCCCCACAGATACTCAAGTCTAACAAAATAGCTCAGTGTTTGCATATGACCTATGTGTTTATTGTAAAACCTCTCCAGGTAACTTAATATGTAAATAGTTGCCATATTGTATTATCCAAATAGACACACAGACACAGAGGGAGTAACCTATTGGGATTTGTTGTCTATATAAGTGAAAGAGAATGTTAAATTTCATTCTCAGGACTAGTGGAAAAAGTATTTTTCTATCTTGGTTTATGAATCTCTGAATTCCATCCAGAGATACATTTCTCTTTTCTCCTCCTGTTGAAAGTGTGAATTCTATTCTAGCAATATGGGGAAATTTCAAGCACATTTCATAAGCAACAATTTAGATCAAGAAGTGGCCTGCAGGGGGCTCCTTTAGCCTTTACTGAAAACTTATCTTTTATCAGCATTAGAATTACAATAATCTCACATTTTTAAAGTGTATGCCTATACGTTATGTAAAGATGCATGAAAATCTCCAGAATAAAGCTTTCTAGTCAGATATGCTGCAAAATAATATCATGATAGAACATTCAAGTGAAAGTTGTGTCTTGAATTTAGAAAATCTGCAGGGATGTATAATTTTAAGACTAAGGAACAAATCTTCCTACAATAACATTTTACTAAGTAAAGCTGAAAAATCACCAAGTCCTCATATTGATGTTTTACTCATTGTTTTGGTAATAAATTTCCAGGATTAATGATAGTAATGATTTTTAAAAAGAGAATTATCAAAAACAAAGAATCTTATTTTAGCATATACCCTATCCTATAAAATATTTTAATCAGTTTTTGAGGTTTCATACTATATCTATTAACTATTGGCGTTTCTTTTCTGAGTCTATTTTCATTTGAATCATTGGTTTCATTACTGCATGGCTTTTATAAAATGTATAATACTGGACTTAGAGGATAACAAAAATACTATTTGTCTTTTATTAAATAGCTTCTCTCGCAAAAAGACACTTTATACAAACAAAATGTAAATTAGTATAAAGCAACATGTCTTGTAATTTTAATGCCTAATTCTTTAAAGTAGAAATGGATGAAAGCAATTGTGATGATAAAGACATTTTTATACTTTAGTCATAGAAAAGAAAATCAGTTTAAAATTAAGATTTTAAAAGTAACTTCCATCTTTCTCCTAAAATATTCAGCAACATACTTCGTAATTATTTTTAATAAAAATATATCTAAAGTTACTCACTGCATAAAAATTATTTAAATTTAATATTGAAAGACAAAAGTCAAGGTCACTGATAAATTTAGAAAATCAGTATTTTAAAGTTTATGAAAAACTGTAATTGATATTTGCACTTCTTACTTTATCCAAGACATTATTAGTTGCTGATAAACCAAATTGCAGCATTATATAAAAACCACATAAAACATAATGTGGTGTGAATTGTACTCTGTAAGTAGAAATAAGTAGCGAGTATTAAACATAAGAAAGTACAGTTGCAAAAGGGAAACAACGTATCACCTAGTAGAAACTCTATTAAGTGCAATTGTCTGTTTCTTTCAACTTCCTTGAAGGTAAAAGAATCAAGATTCCAAAGGAGGAATGAAAGAAATACATTCCCACATTTCATATGCTCAAGTCTACAAGCTTCCTCTACATTATATATGCTAAGTGATTGTTTTTCTTTCTAGATGTCCTGTCAGCCCTACAGCAGAGACCACTGCGGAGTTGTTTTTCCACTTTTACAAGATGCCCTGTAAGAGGCGAACAGTCCTTATGTAATATTCATGAAGACAAATGCGATACATTCAAATTTCACAAAACACTTTTTCTGAAATTTCATTTTATGCTTCACAAACCTTACCTAATTCTCTCATAAACCAACTTCCTGAAGTTCAGCATTTGTCAGAAAAAAGACAAAGATCATCTCTTAAACCATTTGTGCAAGAAAAATACATGAAAGTTTGGGACACACGGGAAAAAATATTTCTGTGGATCAAATTATTGAATGCATCCATTCTCCCCAATAATCAATACTGTCGATGATGACCCCAAATAAAGGTATATAAAATACTCATTCTTTGTGCTCTTAAATATGTAAGCTCAGTATTTTTGTAACACATATGAACTGTGGTCTGAGAAATTATGTTTAATCTAGGTGCAGAAAGAACAACAGAAAATTCAAGAAGTGCATTTTATAAACAGTTACTTTTATCTTATACTACTACATGCAAATTTAATTTTATTATATTTTGCAACTTAAATGCATAATAAAAATTTCATCCAAAAATGAACTAAATTGGAATATTCATAAGAAGGTATTTGTTCACTTTGGAATGCCACATTATAACGTGAGGCATGACTGAAAGAAAGAACTTTAAGCATATGTCCAAGACTGTAAATTCATCAAGGACAGAAATCATGGTTCCATTATTGAATTATCCCAAATGGTATTTTATACTCTGTAGGTGTTAAAAAGTGTGCTAACTAAATTATATTTAAGTAGAATCACTGCAGATGTAAAATTCAATTAGATAGTTTGAAATGAAAATAAGAAACAGCTGAGTCATAGGCAGTCCAAATACTCAGTAAATATAAAGAGGAGAAAAACGAGGAATAAGAAGACTAAGAAGGTAAAATTCAAACTTATGAGTTCCGCCTCTCATTTGAAAAATACAAGGTATTAGCTGGGAGACACTAAAATTTAAATTATAAAAGCAGAAGAAAATGAATGCTATTCATTTGAGAAATCTTTAAAAAAAGAAGATCTAACATTTCAGTTCTAAATTCTAGTTTGCAAATTCCCCTTAACCACAAAGATGAATACTATATATTAAAAGAAGTCATTCTCTTCTAAAATATGAAGGATATTTCACAGCTGCCTAAATAATCCTTTAAAAGAGCTCCTGATGTAAGCATAATTCACAGGGCTAAAGTTGAACAAGTTTTTCTTGGGAACAAAACTAAAAAGAGAGAACAAAAAAGCAATAAAGAACAGAGCTATTATAAAGTCAAGGAATGTTTGCTTAAGACATCACTCATCTCCATCATCTGTTTGATTTTAAATTTTTATTGCAAAAAATGTCTAATTGCCATAAATATATTCCCTTTAAGAGGAGACACTTACAGAGTTTAAGTACTTTTTCTAAAATTAGATTTTAAAGATTCACTTATTCTTGTTCTTTAGACATTAAAGCTTCTGAGCAGATCCCTAAAATCTGTAAGAACCACAAGAACATTCTAAGAGAGTACAAAGCGCAGATCCTATTCTGATCCAGGCCATGGAAGTCATCTTCATTTCAATTAATTTATTTGCCTTTATGAACTTAAAGAGTCTTTCAAGGAGGCTGACATTTCACTCATCTGAAAAAGCTTGGAATGTGACAGGGGAAAGGGAGGAGAAGTAAATCAAAGGGGTTAGCAATTTTCCAGATGCAATGTATTTTTCTTTTCTTCTTTATTCACCAGAAATTTTAGAGCGCCTTCTGACATCTTATTTCTCTAAGCAAAACCACAATAGCAAAAAATGCTTAAGACATGATAGTGAAGAAACACACACAGAGCTGATCAGATACATACTTACCAAATAAATATAAATTGTTTTGCTGCTCCTTTAACTCAAATGTTACTAAGTATATTTATAAGATGTTTTTATGTGTAGTTCAATCAACACAACTTTAGTTGAAAAACCACAGCACACTCAACAACTTCTTTTTTCTTGTTTGTGATTACCAAGGCATTGAATCTATGCTGGCTTCTTCAATAAAAAGTGGCATTTATAAAAACTGTCATCATGACCGTATGTTAAATCACACCAGAATATTTTAGTTATCACCTTTACACACATGGTTTCAGGAAACTATGCACAAATATTTCATGCAAATGCTGGTCTTTTCAGAAGAGCTCTTTTTTTCACTGAGTGAAAATTCACTAAAACATCTAGAGGCAAAAAAAAAAAAAAAAAAATGAAGCTTGAAGATAAATTCTCAGCAACAGGGGATATGCCCATTGCTTCTTAGAGCCAGAGAAGCAGTTAACTCCCTGAAACACCCTGGTTCAATATTTACCTGACAGCTTTGGTATCTTGACATTTCCCCCAGTGTATTTCCTCCTTTATCAGGTATTATTTTACAAAGGATTTCTTGTTATACAGAACTAACATAAATCAATGTATAACAGAGGAATTTGTTTAATACATTTATTCTTTTAAGAAGTTGAATGACCATATTTCATCGACTTGTACAATAGGGGAAAAAAAAGTCTTACTACTAAAACAGAGTTTGTGGAGACTGGTGCATGGTAAACCTATTTAATCTTTTCAGAGGTTCATTCTTAGATTTTAATGTTAAATAATAACAACTATTCATTTAAGCTGGTCTCACTGTATATCTTGACCTTTAGCAATTCCACACACAGCAGCTTATTGTGGTACCCTTTAAATATGAGAAATAAGAATGGTTTACTTTGCCATTACGAGAAAAATAAAAGAGTACTGTATGTTACATGGCCCATGAAATATTGGCGGTGTGTTCCTTTGCTTTCATTCGAAGAACTGCGATACTGGAAGACCTCCTTTCAAACTCTGGCTTTGTTTCAAATGCATGTCCATTGGTAGCCCCAGTAAGAAGAGAGTCAGTGAAAAAATTATTGAGAGGCACGTGGCTGAATTGATTCTGGTGGTTTGAAAACCCTGTGTAACTGGAATCTGTCCGAGGCGAGTGAGAATACGGCGTCATACAGGAGGACGTATCACGGGGTAACATGCATGAAGTAACCACAGAGCCACCGCTTGCATTTCCTGCCCACAGATTGTTCTGGATCTGGAACAGATACAACAACAGATATTACCTTCACGCTTTCATGCTTGTGTTCTCTTACTTTCTGAAATTGTATTTACTAAATTTGGTTAACTCTCCATTATTTCCCCTTATTGAGTGATCTCTAATTACATTCAAAATGCATGAAACAATGCCTGAAAAATAATAATTGGAGAAACTCTTTTGATTTGTATCCTGTAAAAGAACTTCAAAACTCACACGGTTGACCACATAAAACACTCTAAAAACATGTTAATCTCTTAAGTATTCTTTTTTATTGTCACGATTTTTAAGTGCATCTGGAAGATGTGGTCATGTTTCATGACTTAGATTCAAATGTTTAGAAAAAAGGTTTAAAGTATGGTTTTAAATATAAAGATTCAGCTTTCTAAACAAAATGACATAATTGCATTTTTCAAGTTCTGAAACTAGACATTCATGGCAGGTTTTCTCTCTCTCTCTCTCTCTCTCTCTTTTTTTTTTTTTTTGGTTGTTAATTTTGTTTGCTTGCTTTTTGGAAATCATTGCTGATATTAGACAATTTCATGTATAAAGTTTTTGGGTTTTTTTGGTTCTGGGAATCAAACTCACAACCTTGTGTTTGCCATGTGGGCACTTATGCCACTGAACTAAACTTCCAGCCCCTGTAAAGGTATTTTATTAAATTTATTTTGGAAAATATTTACCGTCTCATTTTTAAGCCTCTAGCCTCGAATAAACAGCTGAAAGTTTGAGAAATAGATACTCATTTTAGACATTTAGTGTATTATTTATATATTATATAGTGATTTAAAATAGACCTGTGACATGTAAAACACAAACATAATTGTAAAACATGGATTATTAAAAAATAATGAAATCAGCTAAAAAATGACAACATTAAAAATCATCAGATAATCCTAAGGTAAATATTCCATAATATCATATATCATATATGAGATTAAAACTGTATTATAATTTGTGCACATAAAAGTCACAGTTCACATTAGTAAATTTCTACAAAAACAATTCAAGAGCTAGGTGTGGTGGCACAGGCCTGTTATCCTAGCACCCAGGAGGCTGAGGCAGGAAGCTTGTTGCAAGCTGGACACCAGCGTGGGCTACAAAGTGAGCTCGAGGCCAGATTGAACTGCATAGTGACACAGTATCTCAAAAAGACCAAAAAAAGAAAAAAGAAAGAAAGAAAGAAAAAAAGAAAGGAAGAAAAGAGATAAAGAAGAAGAAAAAAAATTCAATAAAATAATAACTGGCATTTCTATCACACAAAACAGACACAGAACTTACATGAAATTTAAATAGGAAATATCTCAATCTTAACAATCAGACTAAACACAAGAAAGTGATCATGTGTATTACTGAAAACAACAAAGAAAATCATGACAAACTGCTGGAAATAGGACAAACAAACAAAAAACAAAAAAAAAAAAAAAAAAAAAAAAGGAAAAAGTTGTGTGGTATAGCAATTCAGATGTGCAGCCTTGGAAGAAGTCTGCTTTTTGCAATGTTGATTTAATACATTTGAATTCAGAAATTACAAGTTTAGCGTATCCACCTTTCTCACCTTTTTAAAGCAATAATAACACAACAATCAATGATTTCAACACACATACAGTATCTTCCTATATGTATTTTTAACATAACGATTCCAAGTAATAACCTCTAGTGTTGTCTTACAAAACTGAAGCTTGAATCATTCTCTGACAGCTCACCTTCAGTGAGTGGCAAACAAATAGGTTTATAAAATCTCTAGAAACGCTGACACAGAAGTTTCTCCGTCACTCAACAATAGATGATTTAACTGATTGCAAGACATAAAAAAGAACCTAAACAAGTAACTTTGACTCTTAGGTGGGGCTTCACTGGCTGGCAAGATGTTTATTTCTGTACTGTTTTAAAAATAATTCCTTATTAATTACATCAGCTCCTTTAAATGCTACATGTTTATATGTAAAACACATATTAAAATATAGAGACCTACAGATCGCATCCAGATATGTATGTAATGTATGTATGTAATGATTTGCATTTTTATTAACCCTTAAACCACCATGAGCTATGCTCTTTTCCTTTCTGCTCACACTACTCTATGTATTTAACTTTTGCCAAAATAGAATGATCGGTGCCAGTGATTCCTGAGCTATGCGTCTCAAACCAACAGGAGGGCTGTTAATGTCATTACTCTGTCAAACTAGGCCGTCTTGCTTAATCTGGGTGATTTTTCCTCTGACATTCAATCAAACCTGGTTCTATACTGCGAAAACCCAGTCCCAGATCTGACAAAGAGCCTTCAGAAAGGAAAGTAAACCTGCTTATTTTTGAAAAGTAAAATGAGAGGCAAGATAGTGATAGAGAAAAGTTATTTACAATTTGTTTGTTAGAAGATTTTCTAATTTACACATAACATTGCTGGAACTTATTAAATAATGTTTGTGATCCACCTATAAGAAAATGTAAGGAAAAATGTAAAAATAAGGAAGATAATCCATGACTATAAATGAAGAAAATACTTTTTCCCTAAAAGAATTAAAGTGAATCTGTCATGTTAAAATTTCTTTAGAGTGTTATTATATTGACACAATTAAGAGGCAAGTAAGTTTATTTTGATCCAAGTCTCCTATCTGAAAATGATCGAGCATGTTAAATGTATTAGTTTTCATGAAACAATTTCTAACATATAGACATGTTTTCTGAGCAAAGCAAATTGACTAAAGGGAATGACTATAGGAATGTTTTAGTTGGCTTCAGCAGATACTCAAATACTTTGAAGATTTTGCCATTTATTCCCAAGAGTATAGAGGCTTTCACATATTTAACAATATATTCTGTTTCCCTGACCTCTCTCTCTCCTTTTCACATGTAGCCCACAACCTCTTCCATTATTAAGTTTCTGGCTTGTTTTCATTTGACTTCTGATACCTGGTATGTTTCCATAGCAAAAGTGCAGACGCAAACAATACGATAATATCCAGTGAACTGTGATTTTACTTCCTCGGAAACACTCTGTCAAGCTGCCTATTTTGGTGATGATGATCAGTATCGGGCACATCAATTAATTAGCACTGCTTGGACAGGTACTATGAACACTTTTTAATTGTTTTAACAGATTAAAAGTGGGTGTTTTATTACCCTCATTTTGTAGCAGGTAAAACTATAGAAAAAACAGAGCTGAAGACCCCCACCCATGACTCCACAACCCTAATGCTGAAGGGCAAATCTGACCCTAGGAAATCTGAAGAAATGCTACAAGAACTTAACAGGTTTTATGAGTTATAACAGTAATTTACGTGTTTATAATCTTAATTACAGAAAGGTTCTAAGCTATAATCTCTGAAAGAAAAATCTATGGTAACCATCTTCTCTTCTTGAAGCCAATCAGAATGCATAATACATCTTTAATAAAATATATTTATTAAAAAGGTCTAAGAATATGAAATTCAAACGTAAGTTTTGCAGCTATAGTAAATATTTTATAAACAATTTTAACACTATATCTAAATTTGAACTTTAGTATCACCACATTCTACAGTCTCAGCAGAAATCATGTTTACATTCGTAAATCTTGCTGTCAGTATTTCCCTAGAGAATTTGTTTTTTTATTAAAACTTTGTTCTCTATCATAGATGAATTTCTTTGGAGATTCTGATTGGTTAAGCATGAGTGCGGATTCAGGATACCTGTATTAAAGTGATATGATGCCAACGCAAACACAACTCTCATCAGCAACTGAAATAAGGAAACACTGCTGAAGTCCAACTTCCTTGCAAGTGCAAAGCTTCTCTATACACCTCCATTTTTTCCCAGTTTCTGTGATAAGAATCTCTGCTGTTGAGAAAAAACATCTCCTTGTTTTGGAGAGCTCTGCAAAGATGAGCTCTCTCCCTGTCCAAACGTCTTCTATTTATGTTCTTTAAAATGAGGCACAACAAGTATTTTTTTACAGTGAAACTCATAAACATCATTATCCAACTATGACACAATCCCCATTTCTCTTTCATTCAGGTAAACATTATCTATTCTTTTAAAATGTTTCTTATATTACATGTCTATTAGACTGTCTTTCTGATCATATTCCTCTAAATGTGTCTGGGTTGCTGACTGTCACCCTTATTAATATATTCAATCTACAACAAATACCATACACTAAGCACTGTCCAATTTCTGTACAAGAAATGTAGCAGTTAACAACTTTGCTCCAAAACCATCTATTTCTATTAATACTGGAAGGTGGTACTTGATTATACAACAAAGTTGTTGGAATATATAGTTGAGCTAATCTGCAGTTTTCAAGGTAAGCATTCTCTAGTGCTCTTCTATCCATACAGAAACTCTGACCTTATATAGGTGGTAATTTTAAACTGTACGATGAAATCTAACAAGATGCATTAACTAAAACCATATATCACTTTTTTATCAACAGGACACCCCATGTAAAAAATTCTCTTGGTTTCTGACATATTAGAGGAGAGTGTGACACATGCCTGTAATCCCAGCAGTTTGGGAGGTTGAGGCAGGAATACTGGAAGTTTAAACCGCAGCTCAACAACTTATCAATTAGTTTAATGCAACTATGTCTCACAATAAACAATTAAAAAAGTGCTGTGGAAAGGCAGCTCCATGGGAAAGCTCTGGATTCAATCCCCAGTACTTCCCAAAAATTTATATTGTTATTAAATTGTGGGAGGAAACATTGCTCATTGTCTAAATTGTGTCAGTCTTTTATTTTGGATTATTTTGTAGACACAACAGTGACAATACTTAGCAATGAATGAGATTTTGAGGGATATTTTCAGACTTTAAAAACTGTACAGTATCCAAAAGCTTTAAAACAGTAACATTACAAAAGATTGCTCACATCATTCCCTTATGTTCCTTAAAAAGGAGAAAAAGAAGACTGTATTTTTTTTCTTTGCTCTGTTTAAAAGGAATAGGGAACCTAAAAATATTTCACGTTTTAATATGTTTCACAATGTTTTTTAAAGTTCTAGGGGCATGTTCAAAGCAGT